CGCAGCTCAACATTAGTGGATAACTTGGCTAGTGTTGAGTTAACAACGACAAGAAACTTACATGGTGGTCCATGTAAAAATGATCCAAACATTTTTTGTTATGTTTGTGGTGAATATGTAGTACAAAAAAGTCGTAGAAAAATAAACGATAAAATGAAGAGCATATATGAGGAATGTTTTGGGTCTAAAATATCAGATGAGGTGATTATAATCTGTATCAACACTTTCGGTTATTACATCCCTATTTTTAAAATTGAATTCTGCGTATTCTGGTTGTATCATGCTACTAACATTTGGATATACAATTTTACGTCGCGAGGATTGGTTGAAACCTGTAACGTTTGTTTGACAGAAGTGACAATCTTTTTCAGATTTGGGCTTACTCCATCTCACTGGAACTGAAAAAAGTAGTTTACTTCTGTCCTTATGTTTAAGCCAGCGATTAAATATCACAAAACAAGATTCACACATGAAGCTTAGTGTCCACTCGATCACCTCATCTGATATTTTAGACCCAAAACATTCCTCATATATGCTCTTCATTTTATCGTTTATTTTTCTACGGCTTTTTTGTACTACATATTCACCACAAACATAACAAAAAATGTTTGGATCATTTTTACATGGATCACCATGTAAGTTTCTTGTCATTGTTAACTCAACACTAGCCAAGTTATCCACTAATGTTGAGCTGCGGTTGCATGATGACGACGCCTGCGGGCCCGCTTTCCCATCCTGACCAGCCGCCGATACTGGGTATCCGACTCCCTGCATCATAACGCACTTCCTCCGTGTGCCTGCCATGACGGCATGAGAGCCGTGACCCAGGGACTCTGCCGGATCACGGAATTACTCCGTTGCCCACCGTCACCACGTGGAGGTGCCCTGGGCACAAACACACTAAAGAAAGTGTTACGACCAGTAAAAACATTAACTTGTTATCAAGAACAAATGTGAACAAAAACGTTGTAGCTATAAGTCCAGTAGAGTACTAAAACATTTCCGATTCTTGTTAAATTTTATTTTTAAAGGCTAGGCAGTGTTCTTAAGATGTTATGGGGTTTGGGTCTTTTTGGGTCAAGGGATTTAAGGATTGAGTCATATTAATGTAGATTAGAAAAACCAGATGAGTGGTTATTGGTTTCTTTGTGTTGAAGAATCGATGGATTAAAGTTGTGAGGAATTATTGGGTCTTTGGACCTGTTTTTTTGAGGTTATGAAAAATCCTGACTTGATGGATTCCAACGGACCTCAAATTCGGATTCAGCGACCCAAAAAACATATGATAAACATGGTCTAGTCAGCTGTACAATTTTTTTTTTTTTGTGTGGAGCTGTGTAATTAGTCGTTGATTGATCTGCTTCTTTTGAATTCGGTCTGATATTCATCCAATATCTTTTCTGCATATAATTCTAACCTTTTTTTTAATAATACTTGTGAAGATTTTGTTTGCTGTACTTAGTATTAATATTCCTCGGTAATTCTCGCATTCCATTTTATCCTCCTTCTTATGGATCGGATGGATGACGCTCACTCGCCACTCTTCCGGAATTCTTTCCATTCTCCAAATTTTACTAAATAGTGTACATTAAATAGTGTATAGTAAATAGTGTATGTAATTTGGATAGTAAGCCTTCTTCTCCGTGTTTAATGAGCTCTCCGGAGATACTGTCTATCTCAGGCGCCTTATTGTTTTTCAGTTTCAGAAATATCCTTTTTATTTTTTTCCCTCGTTGGGGGATCCATTGGATCATCCTCGTTTTCGATCATCCTTTCGATCTGTTGGATTCTGATTTGCATTCGGGTTGAAAAGTTAAATATTCTCTCCATCTCTTAAACACTTCCTCTATTCCAGTTATCATTACTTCATTCTTATTTTTATAGATTGATGATCTGAGAATATAAAAAGGTTTACTTTTTAAAAAGGTTTACCGTTTTGTAGGCTTCCCTTGGGTTGTTTTCCTTGAAGTATTATTTGATTCGTAGCATAGAATTAAGATATTTCCTTTTCTTGCCTCTAATCGCCTTTTTCACGTCTCTTCTTGCATTTTCATACTCCCATCGCTTCGCGCGTGTTAGTTTTTCGAGATATCTTCTACGAGCTGCGTTCCTCATTTCTATCCTTTCCATACATTCCATACATTCCTTCGAACCATTTGTTTCTCTCTTTTTTTGGTCTGGGTCCTAGTATTTCTTTTTCCGCGCTTATTATTGCCTTCTTAATCGACTTCTAGAATTCCTCTATTGCTCTTCGTCGTGTTATCTTTATTGCATGTCTCCTTATTTTAAGAGCTTCACATAACTTATGCTGATAATTGACCATCGTCTCTAAGGACTTAAGTTCTTTCAAATTTAACCTTCTCGGTTTGCGGCTATTATCCGTTCTTTCTCTCATTGTACGGCATCTGTACTAATTTATACAAATTAGCGGTTGGAGACAAAATTGGCTCCTCTATGTTCTAATCCATAACATTGGATATATATCTCCTGCCGATTAATATATGATCAATTTGATTGTGTTTTCTTCCATCTGGTGGCTCCAGGTTCATTTATGAATACTCCGTCTGGGAAAACATGTTGAGTTGATCAATATGTCCTTAGACAAAGCGAAATTGATTGCACGTATGCAATTGCACGATGCAATTGTTATTACATTCTTCATGTAAACTTTAACTTCCCGCGACCCGTCTAAATTCGAGCTCTTTATCGATCTTAGCATTTCATGGTCACCAAGAACCACTTTTTTATTATTAGACGGGGCTCTGTCATGGGTCTGCTCTAGCTTTTGATAGAAGCTTTCTTTGGCTGTTTCATCTTTTTCTTCCGTTTCTGCATGTACATTGGTGAGTGCTAGATGGAAGAATCAGGTCTTTATTCTTAGCATACATAATCTTTCGTTTGCTGATCTGAAGTCTAGAATTTTCTTCCATCTTATTATTGACTATAAACGCGACTCTTAATTCGTGCCTACTTTCGTTGCCGGTGCGTAGGATTGTGTGTTCTTGTTTCAGCAGTTCCTGATCCTGTTTACCTTGTTTCTTGCACTACCAAATATGTCGATATTGTAATCTAACATTACTTTAGTCAGCTCTTTCAGTGCACTTGTTCTGTGTAGATTTCTGGTATTCCATGTTTCAATAATCAGGTCATTGTTTCATTTGCCATGTCCTTTGCCTTTAGTTCCGTCAAATATCCGAGACTTCCATT